TCCCAGAATTCCCCAGCCAGCATGCTGGCTGGGGAATTCTGGGAGTTGAAGTCCACACTTCTTAAAGTGGCCGAGCTTGAGAATGATGTCTGCTGCATTCATCCAGCCAGCTGGTCAAGTGACCCTGCCTAACCGTTTACTGGCTGCAAAGTTGCCCAACATTTTCCAGCCTGTCTCCTTCTGAAATTCTGTACAACTGCAATTTTAACCCACCTCCCTTGAGAGAATACTGGTGGAAGGGAAGCGGGCTTGCAGCTTTGCTTTTGATCACCCCCAGAAGGATCAGAGGGAGCAAGCCAAGGGTTTTCCACTGGGTTGGCCGCAATGATCCACTGCTGTTATTTACTGACTTTAAGGCTGCTGACAGTGATAACGGGCCTAGAGAGCACCCCAAACCGTTGGATGGAAAGTAAGAGCGAGAGATCATCAAGACCAAAACAGTGTTCACACAACACATGTAATTGAGTTTAGGAACAACAAGTTCTGTTTTTATTCCAGCTTGGTTTTTGGTGGCTTGGTTCCTCTATGGAATGAAGGCATCTGCAGCTGGCATCAAAAAAGTCAAAATGACAGCCACAACCCTGTGAGTGAATGTAATGGCACATGGGAAAGACCTTGGGAGACGGAGCAAAGAGATGCTGACTAGGAAATGGTCAGATAAGAGAGGGCACAGCCCACAGCTGCATAATGGATGGAGAAAGAGGCTCAGAAGGGACCCTCCCTAACTTCTCTGGCTGTAACGGAGATGGGAGGGAGGGTTGTACTTTCAGATTTGCAAGACCCTATTAATGTAACCTTACAATAAAGTAGAATTACCTTATCCGGTTGTGTTTCCTGTCTAGTCTACCTGGGAAATCTGACAGTGAAGCCTCACAACACGCGTAACAGAGGTGCAGGGTTTTGCTCACGTGGCCCCACCACCTACACCTGCTTTGAGTTTGAAACTAGATATTTCTCCTACATCAGAAACATTTAAGCTGGAGGCAAAGCAGGAATGGAAAGGTAACCAACAATATGCTAGAGGGTTGCCGCAGCTGCTGTTTTGATTTTGTGTAATTATTGTTGGATTGGGTCACTCTTTCGAGCGGTAAACTGCTAAGAACCCATCCAACAGAAACACAAACTCAGTCAATCAAACAGCCAAGGCAGCTGATTGCAAATGCAGAAACCCTTCTGGAGCGTCCTGAACGTGGAAGGGGGGGCATTTCGAACTGGAAAGGGTCTCAGATGTGAAACTTCCTGCACGCCCCCCGTGAGAGGTAAATGCTCTGTGCAACGTAGCCCCCAACATAAGGATCTCGTTCGGCACTTTTTGATCTAGGAGCCTCCCTAGATGGTGCCATCCATCTTAGCCGCCCCAGGGAAAAGGGTGCAAGCCATCGAGAAGCCTGATCCTACGTTTTCCCCGCTTTGTCCCCAGGAGTTTCTTTTATTTATGGAATTATTTATGAGTCCCCTTTCAGTGCAAAAGGGCCCCCTGGGGGAGCAGACAAATTAAAACCTGTAAAACAAGCTCATGAATAATATCATAAACATATTAGAATTACACAATTAATCAAAAATAGTATAATGTTTATGAACTTTCCAATGGCCCCCTCTGCAAGGATATAATTTTGAAAGGGCGGGAGGGAACCTGAGGATGCAAAACGAAAACAGCCGGGGTTTCTTTCAAATCTGCTTTTTTCCTGTGGGGCTAAACATCAAGGTCCCTGCCTCCTTCACAGCCTCAAAACCCACCTCTGGATACCGACACAGAGAAGCAGACTAAACACGCTCAACCCACAAACGGCATTAATTCGTACGCCGGACTCTTCAATCCATATTTTATTACGGTCACAGACCAGAATTGTTGGGGTCTTTTAACCACCATTTGCTGAAGACCCCATAATGGCCGGTTCGCACATTTCACTGCCCTTCACCAAGTTTTCTGATGTAACTCCTACCTCCCTGTTTTCAAAGGCTGGTTGAATATGAGCTTGTCTAGGCTTGGAAGCTAAGTAAGGTAAAACCTGGTTACTCTTTGGATGGGAGACCATGAAGTTGGGAGACTAGACGGAAAAAGTTGGGAGACTAGACGGAAAAAGCGAAAAACATCTTGGAAGAAGGCAACGAACGAACCATTTCTCTACTGAGGTCAGGAAAGTAAAGGGGGGTGTCTGAATAATAATCATTTATTAAACTTATATGACTGCCAGCGACTCTTGGCAGTCTTCCTGAGCTCACAAAGATAGATAGATAGATAGATAGATAGATAGATAGATAGATAGATAGATAGATAGATAGATAGATAGATAGTGAATTTTTATTTCAGGTCTTTGCCATAGATGAGAACCAGGTCCACAGATTTTTTACTGCAATCACACCACATATTTAACCTGCTTACTGAGCTCACACACTTTTGGATGGACACATCCCACCAAATCCTGAACTGAGCTCATCCTACAGGCATAACCGCAAAAGACTCCAGCAAGCCAAAGTTAATCCTAACCATGTTTAACATGCTATGCAGCCTTTCGCTAAACCCAGTTAGGCATCTTGTCCAAAGCTAGGTGGGTGACGAGAATCATGCTTCAAATGAAAGGAAGCCAAGTTTACTTAACAAGCCAAGATTCATGGCCTCCCATCTCTTGGAAGGGGTGAGAAAGGTCACCTGCTGAAACACACGGAATCAGTGCTGCATTCATGATGAGCCAAGATTGCTTAAGCATGGTTTAGTACATAAATCATAACCGGGTGGGTCGGTCCAACACACAGAGTTTACAAACCAAGTCACCAGTCAGGCAAAACAGGGCAAAATGCCCCATGGATCTGCTTTAACATAAGGAACTTCCTCCTTCTCCAGAACCTTAGGGACTAGAATCTTAGCTTCTTTCAAAAGGCGTAGGCAAAACATCAGCTTCCTCCATTTCAGCTGATGGCATTTCTAGGCCAGGCTGAGAAGCAGGGCCTTTGGGGAGGGGGGTTTAAAAAGATATTGAAGCACCTCCAGTTCTAACCCAGAAAAGGACCACCACTTTTGAGTAACCCTAAACAAAATAAATTCAGGATAAAGCCTTCTGGTTTGTTTCTCCCTTTTCTCCCAGGAGCCGTGGGGCAAAACAGGTTTCATACCAGATTGACCTTCCACATTCCCTGAAAGCTTCCCCAGATGTGAACCGCCTGATGCTTTTTAGCATCAATGCAGCCAATCAAACCCTCAGGAGGTTTGGGGGTTTTTTTGCAAAAAGGAGTTCACGGCTTGGGACAGGACAAGACTGGACTCAAATCACGCCCGTCCGTTTGGATATCCCAAGACTTTAAAAAATGATAACACCTGTTTTTTTTGGGGGGGGGTTCCTATCGTTCAGGCTTTCCTGCTTCTGCAGTCCCCAAATGTGTTGGGGCTGGCTGAAAAATTTTAGGAGTTGCATTTCCATGCATCCAAAGGAAAACGGGTAGAAAGAACATGCAGCACATTAGCTGAACATAATCATGAGAGTCAGTGTCAGCTATTATTCCCCCACCCCTTATACCAGTGTTTCTCAACCTTGGTAGCTTTCAGATGGGTGGACTTCAACTCC